TCAAAGGTAAACAACTGCAGTGATGTCATTGGGCTTATCTTCTATGAATCCGTCTTCCTGCGTTGTGGGAGGTAGATTTTTATCCTGAAAATACTGAAATATTTATGTTAAACATTAGTCATGTCCAAAGTAATTAATAACAGCTGACAAATATAACTGTAAGTAACATTTGTCAAGGCTGGTCCACCAAACTCTAATGCATTAGTTAAGGATTCAAAGACTGGCTCAGTGTCTTCTATTGATTCGTGTGTGTAACAGATGCCAAAGACTCTGTCTGAAACTTTTCCTGCCAATTGCTCAGTTGCACTTTCGTTCTTTGAAACTTGCTGAAGTCCAGATTTGAGAGGCCCAAAAGAGCAGTGGAACTCCAAAGTTGGAGATCTATTGAAAAATTGGACCTAAATCAGAGAATTGCTGCTCGATCGGCCTTAGCTATTGACCGGTGTGGTGGAAACTAAAAGATCTGTCGTCTCCTTTCTATTATGTGCCTGAAACTTTTGCAAGTCACTTTCCATGCAAAGATTGTTTTTTTTTTTTTTTTAAATAAAAACTTGATGGGAGAATGTGCGTTCCCTCACGCAATCTCTGACCTATACATACGCTCATTTTGTTGATGACCATTAAATAACGTTGATCAGCTAAATGATTTAAATATACCTCAATATTCATGAAGTACTTTACTTTGACCAATTATGGTTGAATGGGAAAAATTGCTTTTTGGTGTTAATTGTTTTATAAATCAGAATATTTTGGTGTACGCCAACATATACTTTTACTAAATATATTCTGAATCTGTGTGTGTTCTCCTCTTTAAAAGGCTTTTCCAACCTAGTACTGTCACTCTAGCTGCGTTTCATTGCACCTGGATGTATTTTGTGCATTCTACTTTGTGAATCCAGTGCAGAGATGGTTCATTTAAAATCCCCTTTTCAGTGTAAACTGAAAGTCCACAGCAGCAAATCCAGGAAAAATATGTTATTATGCTGATTTTAGATTCTTTATTTCTTAAAAGAACATCAGAATAATCTAATATCTGTGCTGGTAGGTCAAAGATTCCCTTAAATCAGGGATGAGAAAAAAACTTTACATCTCTCTCAAGAAAAAGTTTCACAGTGGAACTCAATTTTGTGTTTGCAGTAAAATGGCACTTTATGAAAATGTTGCAGTATTGCCTCTCGCTCATTTATCTTGTCTCTTTCTTCAGCATTGCAATGGCGACCAAGGAGAACATGACCTCACAGAGGGGCATGCTGAAATCCATACACAGCAGGGTGAACACTCTGGCCAGTATCCTTTACACTCCACACGGGTCTCCCTGCAAGTGCAGGAACACAGAATCACTGCAGCTATTTAACCACCTGGTTTTTTTTTGTTTTTTTTGTTTGTTGTTTTAACAGAAAAGTAGAATTGATGAAACTTATTGAGAGATATTGCGCACTGGTAGTACGGTGGGTTTTCACTTGATAATTTCTTTGACGTTTTGACTCTCAGATCGTTTCCCAACTATCAACAGTCTCATCCAGCGAATCAATCTGCGAAAGAGAAGGGACTCCCTCATCCTCGGCACTGTGATCGGCGTCTGCACCATTCTCCTCCTGCTCTACGCTTTCCACTAACCTCCCCTGGTCAGACGATTTCTAACAAGGCAGGACTCCTCTGCTCTTTGTAGCATACGAACCCTCACCTCCTCCCCAGAGATGGCGCTCGGTGATCGAAGGACCACGGAGGTTCCAGAGCAGAGAGACATTTAGTTGGTCCTGTTCTAGGACAGGTCCAGATTTGGCCAACAAGTTCCCACTGAGCCAGCATTTAACAACGAGACAGATTTAGAGCTTGTGGTCGCTTCTTCTTCTTCTTCTTGTTCTTCTTCTTGTTCTTCTTCTTCTTATACCCACAAGGAAATGGAGACCAAAAGTACAAGTGACACCAGTTAATTTTTGTTTGTGGACAAGCTTTGTGCTTTTTTTCTAAGATCAGAGACTAAAGCTGTCTTGTTTTAATAAGGAGGTTGAAGGATTTTTTTTTCTTCGATTATTTTTAATGATTTTGGGGAGTCATTCATTGTAAGCTGTAAAATGTGAATTAATAAATTATTCATATCAGTATGTGTTTTAAAAATATGTGGAGTGAGTTAATTTTCTTTTTGTTCTTTTGAGACGAGCCATTTCTGATAAAGTTTTAGTACCAGGACGTACAAATGTATACAATACTTTTGTTAACATGCCCGTCACTTTGCATGCAACGGCAGCAAAGTCGTTGCATAAAAGTATAAAAACGAAGATAAAAGTATAAAAACAATTAAGAATGTCATACAACAAAACAAGATTTTCAGTCATTAAAAAGCAGCATTCTTTGACTGTACAACTGTGTAGAAAAATGTACAAAATTTTCTACTTGAGCTTTAAAAACATGTAATCCTATTAAGTTAGTACAGATTCTTAACCTTTTCCTGCCTAAATTTATTGGCAGTTCTTTATGATTTTTTTTTCTGTCAAGCAGATGCTAAGTTAAGTAAATTGGTAATTCAAATATAAATCTAGGTATGATGCTGATTGGCAACATTAGGCAGAATTTAGCTTAATAATATAACAAATACTCAATGCTTTTCTAGAATGAAGCTGATTTTATTAATGATGTTGCTGAAAAGGGAATTTGATTTGATTTACTGCATAACTTTCTGTATAGTTTATTCTGGTACATGGTTGCAGAAACCATGGCACGCTATCCGGTCACATTGTTTCTGGTTATGTTGTTTTTTCCCCTCCTTATCAAAAACAACTCACTGACATTCTCCATTCAATCTGAATGATTGTGAACTTTATTGCTTGTCCCAAGAGTTGCAGCTGTAATTTTAAGCTAAAGATGGCTCTGTATGTAGACATGCAGATTAAAGAGGGCATACGCCACACTTTTCAGATTTTTATCTGCAAAACAAGTTTATTTTTAAGTTGTTACTTCACAAATTTGCTTAAATTTGAGTTAATTGGCCTTTTACTCCTTTATAGGAGCGTAAAAACATGGCAGCTATGTGAGACGTATCAATGTGGTTTTCTCACGCTGCTCCATTGTTCCATTTCACACGAGTCCAAATTAAATCGAATCACTTCAGTTGACAAATTACAGTTTCTATTCACCTCCATCAGATCCTTTGAACATAGACTAGCTGAGGTATTGTGAAAGGGTTTCGCTCTTTAGATGCCATTCACATCGTGACGGCCAGTTATTCAGGACGGTGCTCTTAAGAGGCAAACCGTGTACTAAAGCCAGCTTTGACATTTATACGTGGATGTAAGATGACGGCAGAGGTGCAGCTCTTAAATATTTGAACGTCCCAAACCCATGCACATGATCCGGGCTCCTGCATGCGTTCCGCCCCACCAGCTCCAGAGAAGATATTTGCCTGAAGCATTTCTGATTTCATGGCTTCCATCACTTGTTCAAGACGATATTCATTGGTCAGTGTCTGTGGAGCAATGCGGACTTTTTATGAGCTAGACAGCTGGACAATCAGGCCTCTACTATCCATGAATTATATTTTTCTCTACCTCACTTTCTTCTTTCCATCTGAATCTCTTACAGTCACGAAAAATATTGTCAGAAACTGCTTCGTGTTCAGGGTTGCATGCAATAAATGCAGCAGCTTTGTTCTGTATTCCAATCCATAGGAATGGGACTGTAGCCAAATTAGTCTGCAATGGGAATATATTGAATTTAACATTAAAAAACCCCTCTTGCATCTTTCATTCTGAGTCTCTGAAAGGTAGTAAAAGTAGTGATGTGTTTCGTAACGTCAGATCGGGCAGCCAGGTGAAAAAATGTTTTTATGGCTTCAAGGTTTTGTTGGATATTCATAACTCTTTGATCATATGAAATGATAAACTTAAATTTCAATTTTTCATCAATTTAAAACATTCATATCTATATTTTTCAATTTTCTGACACTCCTGCAGCACATAGTGGTAGCAGATTAATGTGGGAAATTGTTTTTATTCATTAGGGACAGAAAAATCTGAGAGAGGCTGAAGATAATCTGAGAGTGGAGCAGAGGTCCACCTGTCAACAGGACAAGGAAATTAAACACACAATGAAACGGTTTAGATCAAAGCATGTTGAGGTGCTAAAATGGTCCAGTCAAAGTCCATACCAAAGTCTAAGTTCACAGAAGGTTCAAATGGGCAAGAATATCTAAAGCTGGTAGAAACAAACCCCTAAAAGGATTAAAGCTGGAACTGCAGAAAAATATAGCATTGAGGTCCATTTTTAGGAAAGATTTAGGAATATGTACTATTTTTTATTCCACTTCACAATCATGCACTATTTGATGTTGGTCTGTCACATAAAATCCTATTAAAATATGAGTTCCTACACATTCTATTGATCTGAACAAACTTAAAAGAATGCTCTGGTTGTGTTGTCTCAATCCTTTATTATCAAGGAAATGTTCAGGAGTCAGCAAGTGAGCCACTGGTGGTGAAGTTGTGAAAAAACATTATTTTCTCAATAATTAAATGTTTGCAAATTAAAGTTGGGATTTTCTGAACTATCTAGTGTGATATTATGGTACTGCAATGAGAAATATATTTATTTTACAGCTTTTTTTTTAAATCTCCACCAGGGGTTCCAGTATCCGTGTAGGGAGCTGTATGCGTATAGCAATTTAACATGTAAACTTACAGGCAGTCCAGGCATCCTTTAAATCTGGAAGTTATCATCAAAACACAAAACTCAGACCATGCATGGTAACATTTATTCCTCACATGCAAAAAAGTACACCACAGAGACGAGAACCGTCACATACAGTATAATATAAAAAAAAAAACAAACAGTAATAATAGAGGTGAAAGGTGAACAGCTGGCTCCTAAACACCAGCACCACAGAAGAAGAAAATTCAAGTGAATCTGGAGCTGTGGCCAGTAAACATGGGGAGTCTTTGGATTTTTGCTGCTTCTGGATGTTCAGATGGAGTATTAATATTATTATTATTATTATTTTTCTTTTCTGCACAGCTACGACTCAGCCTGCGACTTACATTGCTGACGTTCACTCGAGGACTTTGGATTGTAATATCTGTATTGTTTCAATTGTAAAAAGCCCTTAAATGACCATTAGAATTCAGCAAATGGCATCCAGTTAAATGCATTTTAGTTTTAATGGTGTAAAAAAAAAAAAAAAAAAAAAAGACACTTTAATAGCTACAGAAAAACAACTCTATTGAATAATGCATCGTGATTCGTTGATTTTTATCTGAGCTTTGGAGCATTAAGCCTTTTCATATGTCAATGCAACATCTACATGACTCTAAACACAGCAATGAGTTTTCTCTTAAAGTGATGAATCCAGACAACGTGTCGTGCCATGATTTTAAGTAAGTCTTTTTTTAAATGCTATTTATTCTTAGGCAAACTCGTAGACTTGCTCTTTTACAAAAATAAGTGCGTGTCAGGCTGCTTGGCCTTTTACATGCGAAGGTATTGCATATATAGTTTTCCATATAAATACATTACATAGCCATACAAGAAGGGTAAAACATCCAGTAAAAGAATGGATTTTAACAGTCAAAGTATAGCAATGTGAAATGTGTTAAAAGTTTGTAAATGTAAAAAAGACTCTGCAAAGATGGAAGGTCAGATGAAACGGTGTTTGTAATAAAGGCTTGATTCATATATGGTGCAAGACGTGCTTTTAACTGTCCATAAGGACAAAATACACACACAAAGAAAAGGGTTTAATGTGCAAACCTGTCTGTCCCTTAAGGATGGGAAACAATAACAGTCTAAAAGAAGGCAGAGTATTGGGATGTATACATTCAGGCATGCAGTTGGTCTCGTTTTTCTTAAGTTGGAAAACAAAATGACTCAAGACAAAAGAAAGAGTTTTTCTTCCACAAACCCTTGAATTTACATCTTTTTCTTTTCTTTCCTTTTTTTCCCCAATTGCTGACGAAGCAGCCATCCAGACGGGGTCAACAAACCCAGCAACACTTGGGATACAAACGTTTTATAAAATCAAAACTATCTGTTCGTTCATAGATTCCTTTATCTGAAATATATTTTTTTTTTTCTTCCTGTGTATACTTCGAGTGCAATACGTTCATTTAGGGTATATGAAGATTAAATGAGCCGTCTGAAGTTCAAAGACTGTATTTTAAAGGATCCTCCACGCAGACAGAGAAAAGTCCATCATTCATCCACTTTACATTTACAAATCATCCTCTTCATGTCCAGAAATCCATTGTTCAAACAGGAGAAATCATCCTCATCACACAAATCTGCATTCACTCCTTCCTCTCTTTTTCAAACTCGAACAATTCAAAAGCAGGATATTCTGTCAGGCAAATGATACTGGGATCTAATGCATGCATCTTTCAGTGATATATATATATATATACTTTGATCGGTTTACTTGTTGCACGACAGTCATTCATGACTGGTCTACATTTTTTGCTAACTGAAGTTAATTTTAATGCTGTAACTTCATGGCATAGAGTAGGGAATCATACTCCATATCTGTGGTTTGGCTTCAACGTTGCATTTTTTTATTTTCTCCTCGCTCCTCACGGTTATTGGCTTAGAGCTGGAAAAGAAAGGAAGAGGGGAGAAAGAGAAAGGAGTGTTAGGTCAGTTCATACTTGGCAAACGTGCTACAGGGTAGCAGGAGATGGTGTATTTATTACATGCCACAACAAAATAATGTATGTACAATATTCTGTTGAAGCTCTAAACTACCTTTGGTAACACTTTATTTGAAGGGGGGTGAATAAGACTGACATGACACTGTCATAAACATGAATAAGCCTTCATGAATATTTATGACTGTTGTCATAAAGCGTCATTCGGTAAATTATGACACTTTCAATACAAAGTTGGCATTATTCAAAATGTCTTTGTTATGACAACTTGACATTAACCAAGAAATCATTACTGATGTAAATTTGTTATAAAAGTATTAATGATTGCACTTTAAAAATTAGGTAACTTTATGTTATTAAAGGTAAAGTTTAAACAGTAATGATTTCTTGGTTAATGTCAAGTTGTCATAACAAAGACATTTTGAATAATGTCAACTTTGTATTAAAAGTGTCATAATTTACCGAATGACGCTTTACGACAACAGTCATAAATATTCATGAAGGCTTATTGATATTCATGACAGGTGTTATGTCATGTTTATGACAGTGTCATGACAGTCTTATTCACCCCCCTTCAAATAAAGTGTTACCCTACCTTTTATTTTTCATTTGATGCAACATTTGAGCCACACGGTCTTGTGATCTTTTAAAGTGGGCTACTAAAAGTCTCTCTTATGGACTTTTTATTTTTATTTTTTATTTCTTTGGCTTTTTGTTAACTTTTTTTGTCCTTAACTTTACAGAAAAACAATTTCAACATATGGAGAGTCATTCTTCCACATCTGAAATGCTTTCCCATATTATTTCACATGTGATAATTTGTGAGCCAACGTGGGAATTATCTTGTGTAGCAACATGTTAAAACATATGCATCAAATCTTTACTGTCCTTGTCACTTTCTACAAAAGCACAACATTTTAAATCAGTAATCGACTCAGCAAACAATTTTATTTTCTAGAAATGTGAAAAGCATATCGGAAAACCTTGCATTTCTCCATGGAAGGAAATTATATTGTGCTGTTACATGTAAAACCCACCAGTTGTACTCATGTGTGGGAATCATATTGTCTTTTAACATGTGAACACATGATTTACCCATGTGGGCATTACATAGTTGTAGGCAAATGTCAGGCACACTTGGGAAAAGATGTAATGTTTATCAAAATGGAATCTATATCACACATGTGAAGCACGTGGGAAAGTTAAATGTGAAATATTTTCCAGTTTAGTTCACATGTAGACATTTTCAGTCTACTAGACATTCGAAATGTAAAATATTTCCCCATGTATTTCACATTATTTTACTTGGAAATTTAACATTTCACATTTTTACATGTGAAATGTTTTCCAATGTGATTCATGTGAATCTCTCAACCTACCTAAACTAAACTTTTACTGATTGATGTTGGGTTATGACAAGATCTCATCTCTAGTTTTTCCAGAGTTATTGCTAAAAACACACATCGTTCCCATGGACAAAATATTGTGCTCATTGTGAGAACTCAAAATTTATTTTCTAAGCTCGATGCAATTGGATGGGCTCTTCTGGATAGGAAAAGTGTTACCTATTCTTGTCTTTAAATTGTATTAAGTAAATCTCAAGCAATGATTAGATTGTGTTGGAGTGTTGTTAAACTCTGAAATGTCTGGTCAGCGATGTTTGTGCACCTGAAAAGTGAACTGTGGTGTAGACAACGATGATGAGCAGCCCCAGGAAAATGGAGACGATGCTCAGCAGGCGAGCCAGTCGACCCAGCCTCCTGGCCCCGTCCACGTCCCCGTTCTGAAGACTGTTTCTGGACTGGAACACACAAAAGAAAAAACTCAGAGCAGAATCGAGTCGTCTCAAACAATCCAACAATCCCCTCGATTTATTAATCTGGTTGTTGACACAAAAGTTTCAGAAAAAATAAATATGAAAAAAAAAACAACCAAACAAAAAAAACCTACTTTGTCTAAGTAAAAACATGTCTGCGCTGCGTGATGCTGTCATTACCATCTGTCTTGATGGTAGGAGTGCATCTATAAATCAGCCAAGGAGACCAGTCATCGGCCAATATTTACATGTTGATCTCATTTTTAGACTGATCTCATGTATCCACCGATCTTATCTACCAAAGGTCTAAAAATCAGCCACTGTCTTCTGTTGCTTTGCTAAGAGCAAAGTTTGACTGACAGACCTGCCCACAGGGTCATGTCTAGACGTTCACAGTAAACAATCACTCCACTATTACCAATTGGTGAATTACTTGCAATTTTAGCAACATTTCAGGTGAAAAAAAAATCGGTATCGGCCAAAACCGGAATTGACAGGTCAGGCTTTTTAAAGATCGATGATCTCTGATCGGCAAGAAAACTGCAATCAGTGCACCCCTACAGGCATTTCCTAGACACTGCACACACTCTGTTTACATGTTGGATTCTTCCGATAAGCTAAATCACACAGAGTTTACAGGAAACTATGCAAAATCCAGAGAATGTTCCAGCTTAACTACACCTCCTCTTCAACAGTTTCACAGTAAACTATTAATCAAGTTGATTTCCATCTTTAGAGAACAAGAGGAAATGGCAGTCCCACAGTTCAACACTGTCGAGCTGTTTAATTCTTCTACAGCCCTTTAGGGTACAATGCCAATAAAAAATTATTCCCAGCTGTCACTGGTGAAATTGTCCTTTTCAAATTGGCAATTCAGGATTGATGGAGGACTGTGCCTCGCAGAGCCAATCGGAACAGATGAGAGCACAACACTGCGAAGGTGCTGTAATTCATTTTTATGCTGTATGTATATCGCTTTATTTTCACCACAGACACGGCGACTGGGTGATTTATGTGTATGCTTGTGAGACATGATGAATGGGAAGCCTCAAGTCCTCGCTCTGCAGTTTCATTTGGGAGTCTTAAAACAGAAAAGCTTGCATGCGTAATTTCTCTGCCTTTCCCTCCCTCCTATTGTGTCGTCTGCTAGCTTCATGTGCTTTAGACTCAGGAATGCCAAGTTCATTTCAAATGTTGAATACAAGGAATGCACTAACCTCACTTATGCTCATGTCGCTCGTAAATGTATGCACACATTCATTCAGAAGTGTTTTTGGTAATGTTTTTCATCTATTAATAGGAAACCCTTTAGTTTACCATTAAACCAACATTAAATTCACATAAACTAACCCCATGGACCTTTTCTGTTTGAAATAATCTGTTAAAAAATAATTTAAAAAAAGATTGAAAATATATAAAAAAAATCATAATGATAAAAGAAATGAAAGAAAATCATAAGCAATACTGCCCTGCAGATTTACTGGCATTTCCGTTGAAGACGTATAAAAAGCTTTATGAAACAAAAACTTATGTAGCGCTTTTCAACCCTCACAGGGTTCCCAAAGATGCTTTACGATGAAATCAGTCATTTCCATTCACATGCTGATGATGGCAAGCTACAGGATTGTAGCCAAAGCTGCCCTGCCCTGCAGTCTGACAGAAAGACACAACGACAGAGAATCGAACCGGCAACCCACTGATTGCAGGGCGAACTTTTACAACCGTCGCCTTAGAGTACATCAATCCTTTCTTGCAATCTGAATCTTGAGTCTGGTGTCATTTTTGCATAAAATCATGTATGTTTCATTAATTAGCATTGTTGCTGTTAATACTTTCTGCAGTCAGGGCAAAACATAGACTTTTATAACATATCACAAGGTAGCATTAGGCAATGCGCATTAGAAATGGACTCTGTGATCTGCAACTTTTGGGGTTAATAACAGAAAAATGTCATTTTGAACATTTAGACAATTGAAGCACCAGGACACAGAGCAAAGTCATGAGGTTAAATTAAACATGAAATGTCACATTTCAGAGCTTCCACATCAAGACTTCTCTTAGGAGCTGTTCATGCAGGCTTGTCTTCGCAACACATCAGGAAATAGAGCTGTTCTTCCCCCTCATCCTTATTAAATTACGCAATCTTTTTTTTTTTGTAAGTCAATTTCCTCATTTAGATAAAGTGCTATTAAAACACTGGTTGAACAGTAATGTATGTTTCGTCGTTTGCCTCTTTCATTTTAAGAAGAAACTTTTTCTTTTCTTTTTTTGCTTTTCTTAATGACACTCAGGAGTGTGAGTGTTGTCTCTCTTCAGTTAATTGACACTTGAGTCTACAGAGCTGGGATTGGCTCAGTGTTAGGATTACACTGCAGAAAGGCAGAGAGATAAAAGGGCTTGATGAAGTAGCTCCTGCAGGCCTCTGGAGGCGGGGGTTTCCACCACCCTGACGATGCTGGCAAGCCATCATAAATCACTGCACTGGAAATGCTGACCGGTGTTTATGCCTTCATCTATTTTCAATTGAAAACTGTACATTTACCATAGTTTTGCACGTGCTTTGTTTGAACACTTTTCAATTCTATTAAAGCCTTCAGTTTTCTTCTTGCTGTCATCAATAGTGAGTCTGATGGTGCTGAAATAAATATCAGTTGTTGCCAGTGAGATTTTCCCTCAAATTTTCTCATCAGCATCTTTTATCTAAAGCCACAGTTTGCTGAGTTGTGGCAAAGAATTAAAATGACCTCGTTGCTCAGAGGAAGCAGTCAGAAGAAATAAACAAACAAAATAAAAAAAGAATAAAAAATGCAGTGATCACATTAAAGTGAAGGCAACGAGCGATTGGAGGAAACGCTCCGAGAACTTTCTATTTCTTAATTCTCATACAGTTCTTAGTGGTTTTAATAGTATGTTTTAGGTCATTGTCATGTCGCAGATTTCAGTTATGCTTCAGTTTTATTTTTTTAATTCTTTTACAGATGGGTCAACATTTCCAACATACGGCCTCTGATGCAGGTTCTGAGGTTTCCAAATCATGGAAACCTTTCCTGCATCACCCTGCAGTGACATATTTGGTTTATCACATCCTCTGTTCTGGTGTCCAAATTATTCAGTTTTAGAGTCATCTATGTAAAGAACATTAAGTCAGGATTCCTAGTCTTTTTCTGCATTAACATTGACAAACTGGCCTTCAAGTTTTCTTAGAGACGAAAGGGTTCCTCTTTCTGATTGCAGATGCAACACTCATCCCAGAACCTGCTGCAGGTCCTGAGATGACACTTTAGGCTGTTTGGTAACTTCTTTTAGCATCTTGCAGTCGGCTCTCAGCATTCTGAGAGCCGACTGCAATCGGCTCTCAGAAGGCTGAGAGCCGATTGCAGTCGGCTGCAATCGGCTGCAAAGACTATTAAAAGATAGTCTTTTAATAGCCTATCTTTTATTAATCAAATACACAAACACATTTCGAACACTTTTAAATCAACCTGTCACATTCCTTTGGATCGGAGCAGCTGTTTTGAATAACTGCACAGTATTCACGTTGAAAATTTGCGCTAATTATACCGTATTTTTATTCTTTATTGTGTTTTTATGTATTTTATATTCTACCTTTGTGTGAATCTACTCTATTGTGTGACGATAGAGGAATTTCTATTCTATTCTATTCTATTCTATTCTATTCTATTCTATTCTATTCTATTCTATTCTATTCTATTCTACCTCTGTATGTTGGTGGTCGTTTAGCAACTCCTACGATGTTACCATGGTGTTCACTTTCATGTGATATGTTCACATTTTGGCGCCCTGTGATGGACAAGCTGTCACAAGGTGTCCTAGTTTGTCCACATGACTGCATAAAGTGTTAAGATGTTAACAGATCAAAAATAAATATCTCTACTGTTTTATTACTTTTCTCCAAAATGTCTGTTTCTCATTTGAAATGTAAATAATATCACATGAAACATAAAAATGATGTATTACACTCATTTTTTACAGTATGGAATTTGAAGAGGACTGTGAATACTTTATAGATCAACTCCAAAGTGTGTGTGTGTGTGTGTGTGTGTGTTCCTTTTCTTCTTTCTTTTATTTTCATCCTTTGCATGCAGAGACACACTCGTGTCTCACCTCTATGACTGCGGTGTGAAGCTACGGTACAAACTCCCGGTGGAGCCGGTATCGATCTGGACTCGCATCACAAAGGAGAGCAGCATCAGCACCTTGAATCAATGCAAGTCTCTTTCAGAAAACGCTGCTTATTTATCCTGCTTAGAGAAAACATGTCAATGAAATAAGGAAGATTTATGGAGACAGTAACACTTCCTCTAAATGCAGAAAAGAAAACAAAAAACAAAAAAACAAGGAAAGGTTTTTGTCTAAGCATTCTTATTTAGGATATGCGTTTTCCTACTTGATTAATATCTTTATTGATTAGAATAAAGGCACAACTGGTGATATTGGTTTTCACAATGTGAAATCCTACCCTTAAAATGCCTCGATTTCTCCCTGTGTGTTCACACTCGGCGCACTCTGTAGTCTGTCATGTGTTCAAGCGGAGGAAGGTGGAGGCTGGTGAGGCAGTAAGTGCTCCATTTTTTTTTTTTTTCTGTCTCTCATCATGAATAATGAAGAACAACCAGCAGCCTGGTGAGAAGGAGCACCGTACAAAAGAAACCATTTTTGATTATATGACAATGTCACACAATAAGTCTCCATGTGGAATCATTATTTAGTACAAAACATGATTTATTTGCAATTTTTTTTACAATAGGATATACATTTTACATTGGGTATATAATCTTTTTTAATGTTTATGGTGAATTGCAATGTAAGGAGAATAGAGAAATTGAGCCTGTAGAGCAGAAATGTTTTGATCTTTTGTTTAAAACACTTTTATCTGGTTACTTGGGCCTGGAGGATCTCTGAGCTGCTATTTTTGCCATTTTTTTTTCCATTTCTGCCTTGTTACACCAGACTCACCATTAAAG